CCAGCCTAGAAGGGTGAGCTCTGCCTTCTCCCATGCAATAGGCAGCGTTTTTGCTGATAGGCACAGGTAGGCATGGATAGGCAAGGTGGGGAAGCAGCTGGTTGCAGTGCAGACCCCTCATCTTGGTTAGATATACCCGCTCTCTACAGGAGCTGGGCTACGTTCCAGTCTCCTCTGCCAGCCCCTCTCCTCAGGGTGACATCTTCACCCCTGGGGATGCTGCTCTCCCTCCCACAGAAACATCGTCTGCGGTTGGTGGCCACCGATGGTGCCTTCTCCATGGATGGTGACATCGCACCCCTGAGGGAGATCTGCCAGCTGGCCCAGAAGTACAATGCCTTGGTCTTCATTGATGAATGCCATGCCACAGGCTTCCTGGGACCCAATGGCCGGTGAGTAGCTGTGTCTCCCTGACTATCTCTGAAGCAAGGCCAAAGGCGCTGATGACCAACATATTTTTGTGTGGGGACTACTGGTGCCATCATTTCTTGAGATCTTCACATCCCACCTTTGGACCACTTGAGGGGATTGAAGGGAGGTACTTTAGCCATGACCCATCCCAACATAACGGCCACTTCTTTGTGTGTTAGGGATGGTGCTACCATCTCATGTGCCTTTCCTGGCAAGCAGTTGGACTTCCTGACTTCCAAATCCTTTTCCTCTCAGCCATCACTTTCCAGTGCTTGGGTCTTGGGGATTTCATGGCGTTAGCTTTCATTAGTTCCCTCAGGGTGCTTTTTCCTCCATCCCTGGAGATCCTCCAGGTGCCAAGCAGTGCACTTGCTGCAGGTTTTTTCTTAGAACAGATACTTCACATGCTTGTTTTTTGGGGGGCATGTGAGCGCCAAGCACTCCATTGCATGATCCTTCCTGCTCTCTCTACTGGAAGGTAGAGACCTGTGTGAGACACCACTTGTAGGAACAAGCAATGGGTCCCTTCTCAGATGGAAGGTTAGTGCAGGAGATGACAAGAGGAGAAAACCATCTCTGAAAAAGCCAAAATTTGCTCTCTGAGCTCCCTCCCAGCTCTCTCCTCTAGGCAGATCTCATGTGGGAAGCTGGCAAGTCCACATCAAGCTGTGGAATGGGTGAGAAGTGGGAACTAAGCAAGAGAACTTGCCTCCTTTTCTCACCAAGGCCATGGCAAATGTTTCATCCTGGATCAAAATGATGGTGCAAGAGGCATCTTTTAAGAGAAGGGATGCCACTCCTGGTGGCACTTTATCACTAAGAAGAGAGGTGGTTGTGCTGAGCCTTAATATATCCCAAGCCCTGTAGCTGTACTGAGCTTTCTCAAATTTAAGTCTTCATAAGGAAGAAATCATGGGATGGTCTCTTTGTCTTGTAATCTTCCTTCCTTACGGCACAGTAGCCATCCTGTGAGTTGAGGTAGACCTTGTCTCTCTGTCCCAGTGGGCTCTGGGGTCCCACCGGCTGTAAAAACAAGTGTTTGACTGCACTGAGGTCTCTAAGAGCACAAGGGCTTAAGGAAGGGGGAGCAGTTACTGAACGTTTGGTGAGTTGTGATAGCTTCAGTGTGAACCTGATGCAACACTGTGTTTTCAGCGTCAACACTGTTTCAAGGGAGCCAACAGCTGGGTGTCCATGCCCTGTCCTGCCTCTTTGGGCTGGTGGACGTGAAGCTGCAGAGCACATTTGCCAGGTCTGGTTGGTTCCACTAGTGTAGACCTTGACATGGGTGCTTTGTCAAGTGCCTGTGTGCACTCAGGGCAGCACATGAGTGATGTGCACAGCCCACCTCAGAGGACATCGGTTGCTCTAGCCAGGCAACTATTTTTCCCTGGTGTATGCTAATGGTGTGGTGTATCTGAGGCATGTACAAGACCTACGTCCACATCTAGTGCTCTGTTTGGACTATTAAGCTTCTGTGAGGGAAGTTTGAGTGCTCTCCCATCTGTAAGGAATGAAGAATCCATGCTCTTACCTTGGGACATCCCAGCTTAGCCTTTCTGTAGGAGAAAGAAAGGTCTACATTTAGGCTGAAGTAGCACAGGGGGGTGGTTCTTCCTTTACCAGAAGAGAGGACATCGGAGATCTGGTGGGGCTTTGTTTCCCTTGAGACATCAGATGCAGAGTGGCTTCCCTGGTGTGTGCTGGCACAGCTGATAACATGATATTTCTTTTTCTACAGGGGTACAGATGAGCTCCTGGGAGTGATGGACAAAGTCACCATCATCAACTCCACCCTGGGAAAAGCTCTTGGAGGAGCTGCAGGTGAAGGCATTTCCCTGTTGAAGGACCTCCATGCTCTAAAGAGCTCCTCAGCATTGCTTTGACGTTTCCTTCCTCTGTCTAATGACAGAGCAACAAATGCATGTTGTCCTCTTCTACTGGTGGCATATGGCTCAGTTTGGGACCCTGCTGCAGGGTCAAGGAAGGTCCTGCCATGTGCTTCTTTTGCCTGTCTCATTCCCTATGCATTTGCCTTTGGGGTCAAGGTGGAAACTCTTGGTAAAAGGCATCAGCTGTGATTTTTAGGCTCAGTTTGTATTGAAGTTCCTGCTGTAGGTGACAGGTTGGCTTTATCAAGGGGCTTCCCTCTGAACTGGTTACCCTGGGGTGCTTTGTCCATTTCTCTGTCTTCCATCTGCAGGAGGGTACACGACTGGCCCCAAACCCCTCATCGATTTGCTCCGCCAGCGGTCCCGCCCGTACCTCTTCTCCAACAGCCTGCCCCCTGCCGTGGTGGGCTGTGCATCCAAAGCCCTGGACCTCCTCATGGAGAGCAATGCCATTGCACAGTCCATGGCTGCCAAGACCCAACGGTGAGGGGGTCATATTGGGGGGGAACAGGGGGAGAGATTCGTTGGGAATGAGTTGTCCGTTTGTGTTTGTTCACCCCCCTGGTGAGAGCTGTGAAGGCAATTTGCAAGTCATGGCTGGGGAGGGCTCAGGGGAAATCACAGGATGTGCCTCTGTGTGTCAGACAGATGTGCAGGCAGATGTTTCACAGCTGGATGCTCTGCAAGCCTGGACAAATCTGTCCTTCAAGCAGCTGCAGTTCCTCTGCCCTGAGCAGGAAATGGCAAAAGATCACACAAAAAAAGAGAGATCCCTTCCCTGCACAGGAGATGCAAGGCCTCCCAGGGGAAAGGAAGGCAGCAGCCCCCCAAGGACAGGGGTGATGAAATTTTTACTCACCCTCTTGTTTTCTCCACCAGGTTCAGAAGCAAGATGACAGCAGCTGGCTTCACCATCTCGGGGAAGGACCACCCCATCTGCCCCGTGATGCTCGGGGACGCTCGGCTGGCTGCAGTGATGGCTGAGGACATGCTGAACAGAGGTGAAACAGGGAGGGAGCTCTGGACACATGCCTTGAGGGAAGGGACCACCACCATCCCTCCTCCAGAGGATGTGCCTGCATGAAATCTTTCTTTTCTGTACTCTCCAGCTGCAGGTTTCCTTGTAGTGTCCCACAGATGTTGCTGGCTTCACCTCCTTTCCCTTTGGGGGGTGGGAGTGGGTTTACATTAGCCCTCTTGCTGGACTGCATCCCCATCACTAGGCCCATCACATTTCCAGCACTAACCCTCATTTCCATGCTCAGGAGCAGATGCCACTTGAAAACCAGGAAGCCTGGAAATGGTTATTGAGAGGGGAGGGAGGATCCAAAAGCCTGTCTGTCACACAGCACCACCTCAGTCTCCTTTCCCCCAGCCCACCCAAGCCAGCTCTGACTCTCCATGTGTTTCCTCTGCAGGCATTTATGTCATTGGCTTCAGCTACCCCGTGGTCCCCAAGGGAAAGGCCCGCATCCGGGTCCAGATCTCGGCCGTGCACAGTGACGAGGACATCGACCGCTGCGTTGAAGCCTTCACCGAGGTGGGACGGAAACACGGAGCACTGCCTTGAAGGGCCAGCAAAATCCTCCTCCGGCGCCCTTCTTGCCCATGACCAAGTGCCTGTGCCGGGGGAAGAAGCTTGAGCAGCACGCTGCCCAAAGCAGGACCAGTCCTCGAGACATTACAGCCTTTGGGAGGCTGTGGCTGTTGCAGCGTGCTGGCAGTGGTGCTGGCAACCAGCTCTTGTGTCATTAAAGGTGTCCTGCAGTGCAGTGGGTATTTGTCCAGCTCTTATCTGTTCATCCTGGAGCTGCAGCCCATCCCCATCCTCTCTTGCTGCGACCGGACACTCTGCTGTGTCTTTCCTGAAGGTGCAGTCTGGGTGCTGCAGTGCTGCAGCTCCTGCTGTCTCCTTGCTGTTATACCTGAGGTTGCCTGCTTCCTCCACCTCTCCTGTGGGTACAGGAGCATCACCCAACAGATCTGCCTGCTGTAATTCCCCACCAAGGCAGGGGGGGTTCCCAAGCCCTTGGCAACCTGTGCCACCAGCAGCTGGTTTGGGAAGGAGGGCATGAGCTGGCCAAAGCTCTGGTCCTCCTTTCTCCCCTTCCCATCCTGTTGGGTGTGAGGCTTGCTTGGTCACCAAGACCAGTTCTAAGGCTTTGCCCATCACTGTGGCTCTCCCAAATTTGCCCTGGAAGCTGCATTTTCCCCAGAAAAGCCGTCAGGCAGCGGGCAAGCTCAGGTGGCAGAGGCCAATAACCTGTGTCTGCCGGGGGCTGAGGATGAGGGCAGAGCAGGTGACAGAAACCTGTAATTTTCCTCCATCAGCTGCAATTTTCACACAGCAGAGAACACACAGCAGGCTGGGATCTCCGGATTTGTTCCTCTGAGCCGTGCTGGGCTAGCGCTCAGGCAGGAACAAGTGGGTCCTGAGCATCTCTCAGGATTGCTTTGTTTGCATTGGTTCTGCTCGAAATGAGACATCATGTGTCTCCTGCCGTCTGCCCACGTGCTGAACTGAGTACCAGCTGCCTGCAGCCAGGGACAGACAGACTCTGGGCAAAATGGGCTCGGGTGCCAGAGCAAAGACCTGCTCCGAAAGCCCTACCTGCTGTCAGGCAGCCAGGGGGCAAGTTACAAGGGCAGTAACACATCTGACCTGAACTGGAGCCAGCTTCTGGGGAATACAGAAGTTAATCCATGGCTGCGGTGCTTTCCGTGCTAGGGAGGGCAGGGGAGAAATGTATTTTCCATGGGGCTGCTGCCAGACCTTGTCAGAGCATCTGGTAGCGTAACTGGGAGCCAATTTTATTTGATTTTCCATCTCTGCAGGGACCTGAGCTCAGCCTGCTGATAAGTATGATATGGAGGTCCTTCTGCATGGGGCTGGGCCCCCATGGTGCTGCAAACCCTCCCTTCTTATCAATGGGATGTATTTTGGGAATGGGGAATGTAATAGGGAAAGGGCAGGGGGCTGCGCTCAGCCCCTCTTGCAACCTGGAGGAGATGAAGCTTCAGCTAGATGGGACCTTGTACAGGGGGTTTGGGTCCCTCCACTGAATCACTGCAGTTGGAACCTGATGCTCCTCCACCCCTTGCTCCCCCCGGTACTTGCCCACCTCCATTGCACACCTGTATCTGCGTCTCTGCTGCGCCCAGGGCAGGCAGCCCAAGCAGTTTAACCCTGCTCCAGCTTTCAGATCCTTCCTCAGCCATACAAGCATCTTGCTGCTCAGCCACAAGGAAGAACAGCAGCAGCCTCCCTCCTCTGCGGTGCACACGCTTGCTCTTGCATGCACACATGTGCTCCCCCGCCTTCTCCTCCTCCTCCTCCTCCTCCTCCTCCTCCTCCTCTCCTCCCCAGGCACCCTGACCTCGCTTTCCCCTCCATCTCTCCCAGGCCCCTCGGCAGCTGACCCCTAGCTCTGGCTCCTCTCCGCCTGCTTCAAGGCCAAGCTCTGCAGCAGACTGCGGTTTGCCCGGCGGTACGGTGAGTGCCGGAGCCCGGGGAAGGCAGGAGGGTCAGGCGATGGCACTCTGGAAATGAATAATGCAGCGCCCATCAACTGCAGGCGCTGTGTTAATACTGCATTCCCGGGCAAAGCCTCCAGCTCTTTTTATTTCTTCAAGGCTTGCTGACCGGGGTCTGATCCGCAGCTCTTTGGAGCTTTTAGCCCAAAAAGCAGAGGGCTTTTTGCTGGGTGGGATGTAGAGGGAGATGCCACTTTTTGAGGTTGCAATTCTCACCCCAGGTGCACTGACCCGCCCCAGATCCCTGTGCTGATCTGCTGGGTCCCCTCGGTCCCCGGCTGCTACCCTCTCCCCCATGCAGGGTAGGCGTTGGAGCCCTGTATCTCTCCTGTTGTACCTCCAAGTAGGGAAACGTCCTGTCCCATCCTGTTTCCATAGATACCCACCCCCGCAGATGCTTCCAGCCCTTAGTCTCCACTGCCCCCACACCTTCCTCCACCTGCCTGGCCGAATAACCCTCACCGGGCTGCCCCCTCACAGCCCCAAACCTGCCCCCCTTCTCACTGATGCCCTCCAGCCCCTCTCCACGCTGCTGCGTGACCCACCTCCCCCTGACCCTTCCCAGCCGGCATCCCTCTGTCCTGGCATCCCTCTGTCCTTTCTCTCTTCCCACAGGGATACCCCGGCTCAGGCTGACCCTGCTGGGGCCAATGCAAATGGGGTTTGAACCAGCCCTCGGGTGTTGTGATTTTCCCATCCCACGTTGGAGATCCCATCCCATCGCTGGAGATAAGTGCCACGCAAGAGCCCCCACCGGTGCAACCTTCCAGCGCTGGCAGGCGAGGGATGAAGTAGCCGTGTCCCCCCCTCAACTACCCAGAGACTTCGACGAGAAACAGCAATGCCAGCAGCCTCTCCTCGCTTCCTTCTGATGGTTTATTTCTGCAGTCGGGACCTCCTCCCATTGACTCCCCAGCCCGGGGGTTTCTCCAGGTGACCGCTCACTTCTTCAGCCAGTTTGGCTGCAGGAACAGGTGCCGGGATTGGGGGGGTCCCCTCCGTGGGACCCCTCAGTGGCAGGAGCACTTGCAGGCGACCACGACGGGGTAAGGGATCTGCCTCCAGGCGCAGTGCGGGGGTCCGGGGTCCCGGGGTGCCCAGCAGTGCCAGGCCAGCAGCTTGATGTGGGTGAGCTGCGCGGGGCGGCAGGTCATGCCGGGGGGCCAGGAGCAGCCGGGGGGCCCGGTGTCGCAGGCGGTGTGGCGCACCCAACGGGGCCAGAAGACGGGTCCCAGGTTGACCCATGCGGAGGTGAGGCGGCAGGCGGCCCGTTCCACCAGCCACTGCCGCAGGCGGCGGGCCAGCACCCCCGCCAGCTCAGGGGGCAACCCCGGGCCGGGGGGCAGCAAGGGGGGCAGCTCCAGCCCCTCCGCCTCCCGCCACAGCTTGCGGCGGTACCTCCCGGCCCCCTCCGCCAGGTCCCGGCTCAGGGGCTCCAGGTTCCCCTCTTCGGGGACGCTGCCGTTGCGGCCGCGGGGCTCCTCGGTCGCCATCCAGAAAGGGTCGAAGGCCGAGCCCAGCAGCCGCCGCAGCCGCCCGGGCCGGAGGTGGCGGGGTTTGGGGGAGTAGCGGTAGTCTTCGGGGGAGAGCGAGAGGCTGTAGGGCCGCACCGGGGCCGAGGGGCGGCCGCGGAGCAGGTGGGCGGTGGGGTCAGCCGTGATGGAGGGCGGCGGTGGTGGTGGCTCCCGAGGCTCCTCCGGCGGCGGGCCCGGGGTGCCCGGTGGCGGGAGCAGGCAGAGGAGGAGGAGGAAGAGGAGGAGGAGGCAGGCACGGCGGGGTCCCTCCATGGCCAAGCGGCACTGCGGGCTCTGGCTCAGCCGCATCCCCCGGGCTATCGCCGCGTCCCCGGGCATGGCCTTCCCCTTTTCCCTGGATACGGCGGCTGATAGCCGGCGGGGACACCCCGCTCCCTCCCGCCCGAGGGGCAGGCGGGGAGGGGAGGACACACCGTCCCTCCCGCCAGGCCAAGGGGTGCCGCCGACAGGGAACATCGGGGTTTCCATGGAGGTGAAGGGGCTGGTGCCTCCTCCTCCTCCTCCTCCACACCCTGCTCCATCGTTGGAAGAGGCATCCAGGACCTTCCCAGGGAGAAGCTGGTGAGAAGAAGAGAGCTGAAGAGAAGCTGGTGGCCTTTGAGTCTAGCTGTTCTCAGCCTCAGCGCATCTGGGAGTCCACAGGGGACAGGTCCCATCTTGGGGGTGGACATGGTGGCAGGGCAGGAGGGCTATGTGTGTCACTGTCGCCTCTCAGCACGTCAGCCACCACACGTGCTGTCCTGGGCAGCAGTGAGGGAGCTGAACTTCTGGAGGTGGCCTCCCTGGGTGGCTTGTCCTCCCTCCCCACGGTGCTGGTGGAGCGCAGACCCAGGCTGGATGGAAATTAAAACCTGCTTTCCCCTTCTTCCCTGGGGCAGACACTGTGGGAGAGAGACTCGATCTGCTCTGTGCCGTGCTACTAACAATTAATTAATAACAGCTAGTAATAGCAATTAATTGCAAGGGTTTAGACCCGTATCCCAAGGATGGGGCAGGTTGCAGGCTCACTGTGGTGGAATATTCATCTTCCCCAGCTGTGCTGGGCAACACATCCTGAACACTGCATGGAAGGGTGCCTGCAGGACCCACCGGGGTCTGTGGGACCCTGTCCCCCTTCCATCCTCCCCCCAGAGAGCGCAGACTTTTTTGGCTGCCCTCTCCTCACTGGAGCGTCTCAGCCCATAGGAAGGCTGGGCAGAGAGGAGTTAACTCCAAACCCAACCTCAGAGAGAGGGGAAAAAAAAACCACAGAGATCAATGGATCAACAGCTAGAGCAGAGGGAGGGAAAAGGGGGAGACAGAGAGAGAGGAGAGGAGCTCCAGAAGGAGAGAGACAGTGTGGGAGACAGAAGAGAAAGCAGAGCTGGCAGTGAGCAGGGGGTGGTAGCGGAGCACCAGCCAGGGGTGACAGTGCTGCCCGGACAAACTCTTCAGTGGCCGACCTTCCATCCAGTGCGGCGAAGCTGCAGGCCCTTCCTCACAGAGGTGAGTGCCGGGTTCCCAAGCAAGGGGTGGCCTCGGGCTCCCTGAGCAGGGACACAACAGTGCCCAGAGATGCCACACTGCCTACACGTCAGTGTGTGTCCAGAGGGCAACTGGAGTCCTCTGCTCAAGCAAGGAGATCCCATGGGGCCAGGATGGAGGAGCCAGATAGTTACCAGTAGGACAGAGGGGACCACAGAGCCAGGGAGGCAGGGACAACCTTACAGTGAGATATAGAGAGACTGCTGGGAAGAAGCAGAATGAGTCGAGGGATGGGGGAGTGTGGGGCAAAGGAGCTTGCATGACCCAAAAAAATAGGAGTTAATTGCATGTCAACAGTTGCTAGATAACAGTGTCTTTCCATCTTGGTTGCTGCTCAGCGAAGGACAATTTGTTCTAATGATAGCACAACACAGAAAAGGCTCATTAGGAGATAGGCTGTTGGTGCTCCCTGCCTGAGCGCGTTGTTACTGAGGGCTGGAGAAGTTTTTGCCACAAATCACAATACCTTGAGCTGTGGTAATAATTACCGTCCTTCACAATGACCATCGTGTTGTGTTTCAGGCAGCTCCTAGGTCTCCCCCCACCTTCTCCTAGCCACCACTGTCCAGCCCGTGACCAGCCTCTCAGCATCAGGAAGAGCTGCCCCGAGTCACCTCTCCTCTGTGGAGAAAAACTACTGCAAAGGGAGCAAGGGGCAGCCAGCTCCAGGGTGGAGGTGGTCCCAGTTTCAGGAGCTCCCTTGGAGTGGGAGTGTGGTGGGGTGCTGCTACTGTGGGGTGTCATCCAGGCATCAGGGTCTCTGCTGCTGGAGGTAGCGGCAGCCCTGGACGGAAGCCCCCTTCCCCATGGCCTCTCGGCTGAGCCCTGTTGAAGAGCAGCCAGGGTTTAGACTTGCTGAAGCAAGCAATCCCAAGAGGTTTAGCAGCTTTGGGATTGTAGGAGGAATGTAGGGGAGGGCAGGCGGCAGGGCAGGGGGGGTTTCCAGGGGGCTAGGAGCACAGGAGGTGCCATGGTGGGGACGTGAATGCAAGCAGGAAAAAGGGGCTTCGTCTCCACTCAAGCCCAGCAGGTGTGGGCTGACTGATCCCAACAGCATTCTTGCCAGCAACATCATGAGGATCTTGATCTCATCATTTAACCAGCTGGTTGGGATTGATGTCTCTGGGGGAAACATGGGCGTCAGACAAAGGCAGGGATCAGGCACCTTAGGGCAGGAGCTCTGATGGCCCCAATGGTCAACACCAAGCAGCACGTGTTTGCCTACAGCCCTACACAGGTCCCGTGTCTCCCTGTCTTCCCTCACAGGTCCCCACAGTCAGATGGAGAGATGCCAGGAGGCTGGAACACCTCCTCTAACAGCCCGGAGCTGCGAGCCGCAGGGATTATTGTGCCCGTCATCTTCTCCCTCATCTTCCTTCTGGGCACTGTGGGGAATGGGCTGGTGCTGGCCGTGCTGCTGCGGAACAGACAAATCAAGTACAATACCACCAACCTTTTCATCCTTAACCTGGCCATGGCTGACCTGTGCTTCATCATCTGTTGCGTCCCCTTCCAGGCCACCATTTACACCCTGGATGGGTGGCTGTTTGGGGCCTTTGCCTGCAAGGCTGTGCATTTCCTGATCTACCTCACCATGTACGCCAGCAGCTTCACACTGGCTGCCGTCTCCATTGACAGGCAAGTGTCCCCTCTCCTATGAGTCCCTCAGCTCAGGGACAACATGTTTGCTACCCTTGAGCTAAGGGGTAGGGAGCCTTTATTCTGATAAGGATCCTGTAAGAAGCAGGTGAGGTCTCCCCAGAGGCAGGGCCAGCAAAGTTAGCCTCCCCATCTCACTGTGCCCTCTCCCAGCACCAAGCCAAGCTCTCGGCCTGGTTACTCAGCCCTCACTTGTGAAGAAGGAGTGTAGGCATATGCTGAGGCTTGGTGTCCACCATGCAAATACAAGCCCCAGGGCAGCAACACACCAGAGAAGAAAGAGAAAACCCTCTGGGTCCTGCTGCTGTCCTCTTTCCCAGTTCAAGAGGAATGCTGCTTGCTTTTCCCAAGCTAGTGCAGCATCATGAGTGATGGAGATCCCAGACCCACTGTTGGGATCATCCTCATCTCTTCGTGAATTCAGCGTAACCCTCCCTCCCAAGAGTTGAGGAGAGGGAGGGATGGATGGCTGCATGGGTAGGGGTGCACAGATGGGAGCTCCACAGGGCAGGAGACATATCTCATCTCACCCATGTTGTGTTTCATCTCTCCTTCTCCTTCACCTTTCCACCAGGTACCTGGCCATTCGCTATCCGCTGAAGTCCCGGGATCTCCGCACTTCCCGAAACGCAGGAGTGGCCATTGTAGCAATCTGGTCACTGTCACTGCTCTTCGCAGGGCCTTACCTCAGTTACTACCAGATTGTCCATTACCACAGGGTGCCCATCTGCGTCCCCGTCTGGGAGGACCAGCGCCGAAAGATTCTGGACATCCTCACGTTTGTCTTTGGATACCTCTTGCCTGTGACTGTGGTGAGTCTGGCATACGCCAGGACCATCAAGTTCCTATGGACCTCTATAGACCCCATAGAAAGGATCTCAGAGTCCCGGAAGGCCAAGTGTAAGGTCACCAAGATGATCGTGGCTGTGGCCATCCTGTTCTGCCTCTGCTGGCTGCCCCACCACCTGGTCATCCTGTGCTTCTGGTTTGGCCACTTCCCCTTCAACCGAGCCACTTACGCTTGCCGCCTGGCTTCCCACTGCCTTTCATATGCCAACTCCTGCCTCAACCCCATCGTCTATGCCCTCATCTCCAAGCATTTCCGCAAGCGTTTCAAGCAGGTCTTCACTTGCATCTTCTTCCAGAACAAGACCAGGAAGAAGAAGAAGAGAGTTGGAAAGAAAGTCCACATGGTCCATGTGGGCAAAGGTTTCACCAACAGCACCAGAGGTTTCTATGGAGGCAAGACTGAGGTGAACCAGGTCCCAGAGGAGAACATGAGGATGAGGGACCCTGAAGGTGCCAGTCGTGATGCCGGAGCACAGACTCACCGGCTACAAGATGCCATGGTCTCTGTGCAGAAGGAGCTACTGGAGGAGGAAAGTTTGGCAACAGCTGGCCATCCCCTGGCCATGACCCCTACAAGAGGAACTGAGGAGTTTGTGACTCTTCATTACAGATGAGCAAAGTGAAGGAGCCTGTTTTCCAGCCTGTGAGTAACCACTCCATTCCCAATGGGCAGAATAATGTGGGACTGAGGGGAATGGACACAGCAGAGCCACCAAAACCTCCTGTGGCAATGGTTAACCTGTTGTCCCCTCTCACCTTCACTCCCTGGCCCACTGTATTCATATGAGAATGGCACAATCCACCCATAGAAATGCAGTGTGGAGGGACATGTTGATGTGATGCCACGTGACCTTGGTGGCGTTTCTGCAACAGGTTTTGAGGCCTCCATTTCCCTCCTTCCTAACTTGCTAATTTTGTGCAGCACCTTAGAAGTCTAAGAGAGAGACAACCAAAATAGAAACATCTTGGTAGGAGATCCAGGCTACTAAGAGTGCTTTAGAGCATGGGCGGGAAGTGTGGAGAGGGTGCACAGGGACCTCTCTCCCTGGCAAGGCTGGGGAACTGTGCTCAGCCCCAAGCTATAAAACACTGTCCCTTGCCCACATGTCCTTTTCCCGTGGTCCAAGGGTAGACTTAGTCCACCTCCATCCCTTTCCCTAGCCCCTGCATCCAGATCAGAGGGCCTTTGCCACACTGCCTCACGAGCAAGGAAGTCAGCCCTCTGTGCCAACAGCTCAATGATGCAAACTCTGTGGCAGTCACTAGTCATACTCAAGTGATTTCTGCCACAGCAAGTGAGGAAAGGAAAGCCTTGTGTGCCAACACCTCTGCGTGCCTCCCCTCTGCATCTGTAGCACCTCTGAAGTTCAAGGAGGAAAGGGTTGCCTGTCCAGTCTCTTCCCTCAACTCTGACCCACCAGAATTACTCTCTGGATGATGTTTCCTAGACCTCTATCTCACCTGGCTTGAGCTCTTGCGGCAGATCCTGCAGGACACTGTCCCACTTCCTAATGCCACTTGTGGATCAGAAATATTTCCTTAGAGCCATCCCCAGTTCTTCCTAAACAAACCCAGTACCTTCTCATTCCGCTGTGGTGGTGTTCCACCTGATTCAGCCACCTGCTTACTTTCTGTTTGCGTTTTGCAAGCTCCTGAGGGTTTGCTGCCTCCTCTTTGATCTTTCCTTGCTACGTGGAGTTTCATCCCTTCTTTCTGCAGCTGAAGGACCTGTTGCTCTCTGAGCGGTGACATTATTCATTGATGTTAGCCCCATGTGTGTCATTTACTGACGTGGCCAGCCAGTGTTTTCCACATGATGGTGATGATTGTGAGTGAATTGATGTCTGTCACCGGAGCAGAAGAAAGTAGCTAAGCTGCAACATGAGCTGTGGAACTAGGTGACAGTTGTGGTGAGGAGTAAAAAGAAACAGACCCATGTCCACTTGGTTCAATCCTGTCTCCTCAGTGCCCCTTTCTACCCAACGGAGAGGGTTTCCAGAAGAGTGTGAGGCCAACACAGCTCAGTGGGCTGGGATATCTTCGAAGACGGCCACTGCTGTGGGAGCAACATCTGCCTCAGAGAAAAACTTTCCCCTGCTCCGTCCCCTGCTGCCCCCAGCAGCTGTGGAGGAGCCTCTGGCCTTGGCAACAGCTCAATGACACCTCACAGCAGGACCAGCCATCCCCTCTGGCCTGACCATGGGAAGGATGGGAAGTGCTGCTGGGATGGCGTGGTGGGACAAAAATCACAATCACCAGAAGGTGCTGGAATTTCTCCCTTGATTGACCTGAATAAACCCCAGTCATTTCCTTCACCTGCTGTGTTTGCCGTGTGCTGGATACAACCTCTGCCCGGCACGGGGCTCGGCAGCTTGGGCTGGAGGCAGCGGAGGCTGTGTGAGCCATCTGACCACAGCCCGGTGCTCCCAAGTCACTGGCAGGGGGTCATTTGTTTTATTTGATTTTGCAGGCACTGCAGAAGTGCACGGAAAGAAGCAAAGCTGAGGATTTTAAGGTGGAGCCCGCACTGCTGGTGTTCGAGAGAAGGCTGTGGGAGGAAGGAGACAGAAGCAGGGAGAGGGTGAAGGGGGCATGGCAGGAGAGCAGGTGGAGGGGGCAATTTAAATGATAAATGTGTGGGGCTGGGTGGGAGCCATCCACAGGAAGAGACAGCTGTGGTGAGAAAGCAGGGCAAAGTGAGGGGTTAGAAGCAGAGGGCTGAAGGGAAGAGGGGGCACGAGGCAGGTGGGAAGCAATGTGGTGGCAGAGCACCCATGCTTTGGCAGGAGACTTCTCACCTTCTCCCCTGCCCAGCAGTGTCATGCTGCTCCAGGGCTGGGGTGAGCACCACTCGGCCACATGGGACCCCAGCCCCAGGGCAGCTCTCTCCACCGTTTTTCTGCATCATCAGGCTGCTGGAGAAGCCCAGAAAAACATCATCCAAGCAAGGTCTTTGATCGGTCTAGCATGCATGGGAGGGGGGAGGGAGCTGGTGGGGCTTGCATTGTTGCAATGCTGTGATTTGCCCCAGTGCCTGGCAGAGCTAGGCTTGGGCACGTGGCTGACTTCACACAGCTCCAGTTTTGTCACATAGTCGTGTGACACAAGGGGAGAGGGACTGAGCAGGGTACTCAGCTCCCCCAGTGTGGGCCAAGTCCCCGGGCCACAGGTAATCACAGCTGCCTGAGGCCATCCTCTTTGGGATGAGACAGCTTTGCCTTGGGGATCCCAAACTCTGTGGTACCACCTGGCTTGTGGGTGCAAGCGGGACAGATCCTGCTCCCTTTGCCAGCAGCGGTGTAGCCCCTGAGCATCAGTCCCATGGCTTGGGAGCTTTTGGTGGTGCTGTAGGACAAACCCAGGAAGAAGCCCTAGGAAGGGGACACAGACAAGTCACCTGAGAAACTAGAAGTAGCGGGGAAAGGGACTCCTTTTACTAACCAGGCAAGCGCTGAGGAAGGGAAAGAGACCAGCCTCTGGAAGGACCTCCGCGGTGAGAGGTGAGGGAGAAATCTCCATTAGCATCCCAGTTTCGGACCACATCCCAGGGGCTTCGCTTTCCTCCAGGAGAGGCCAGGATCATCAGGCCCAGGCCTTATCTCCACAGAGGTGAGTTTCTGTTGGCAGCAAAAGAGGTGAGCTCACACATTCAGACCTGTAGAACTGAGCCCAAGCCCCACAGAGTTCCTCAGGGACCTCCTCTGCAATCCTGCAGCCAGGCCTGGGACGCCTCTGCCACAAATCATTAGACCCACCACCGTCCCAGCTCAATATTTACAGTAAACTTTACATGATTGCAACAGCCCTCTTTTTTTTTTTTTTTTTTTATTACATACAGCATTTAATTAGTGCTGCGTGGCTCCTGAGTGTGTAACTCTTAACATGAAGCAGATCTTCACCCATAATTCCCTAAGAGAGGATGAGAAAAGTGAAGCTTGGCAGAAAAGTGTTTAGTGAAGGTGGTGACATTGTGGAACTAAAACCATGAGAGAGCTAACGCTGAGGACCTCCAGCTAGCAGAGAGGAGCCATTTACTGCCAGTCCCCTGCTTGTCAGGAGACGCTTGCCAACATAAGCCTGTGGCAAACATGAAGTTGTTGGAGACTGCACAGGCCCCATTCATGGTGTCCTGAGCCCCACAGGGGCTGCGGAAGCCACTGGTGTCCTCCTTGTCCCCATGCACAGTGGGACCTTGGCAAGGCAGCAGGGGCTGCATCCAAAGCAAAGGAGCTGGTCCCTCCCTTGTCCTTCGACGCTCTCGGTGCTGTAGGTGTTGTAGGGCAGGGATGGGGGACATCAGGCAGCAAGGGGCTTGCAGAGCTGCGATGTGCGTGAGCAGAGCCACGAGCTCCCCCCCTCACCTTATTTCTCTTCTTTCCATCCCCTGCTTCTGCTTGCGTAAATCTTCCCTTATTGCTTTGTCCTGCCCGCTCTTAAAATTCCCAGGCGACGTGGTATTTCTAAGCTGCTGCACGCCTCGCTAGAGCTCGGCTCCGAGGACACCACTTTCCCCGTGCGGGGACCAGCCGAAGAGCTGTGCTGGGAATCTTTTTCCATCCGAGCGTTTGATGTTGCTCTCTGCACCTTGAGCCTCCCTCATCTCCTGTCCCTGTTTCTGACTCCTCCGGTTCCTTTCCTCTGCAGCCTTTCGGCAACGTGCCCAGCGTGTTTTGCCCCCCTTCCCATCCTGCAGCCGCCCTTTGCATGCGATGCCATGGCTGGTGGCCAGCTCGCGTGGCCACAAGCAGCCTCCAGGTAACAGGAGTGTCTATCTATCTCATCTGCATCGTTTCGGGGGGTGAGGCCCCACTTCACAGCCCAAAGCACTGGTGGGAGAAGGGACCAGCAGTGGAAAGCGGTGGTGCAGCACAACCAGACGCTGCCTGTTCTTGCCCGCTTGTGGCCAGGCTGTTGCTCACCCCCGATTTGCTCCACCTGCTCCTGGCTTGCAAAGGGAGTGGATCACGTCAGGATTGACTGCTGCATGTTGGGGTGAAGCCTAAATGAAACAGGACAGAGAAGACAGGGCAAAGACCTGGGGGAGAAGGCATATTTAGCAGGGCAAGTATCTACAAGCCCTGGCTCCCATCCCTAAGCTCTGCCTGGTGCTAAGCCCCAATTTTGGGGAGCACGTGAGCAGAAGAGGCAGATGCTGAGCCCGGCTTGGAGAGGCTCTGGAGCCAGAAGGGAACTCCTGTCTGCCCAGTAGCAGGGTACACACTCCAACTGGGTTCACAGCTTGAAAGTAGAGGTGAAGAAAAGGTGTCATGTCCTTGATAAGGAGCAGAGTTTAATTACAGCTGAAGGAGCTTGATTGCTGCTTTCCACGCAGCCTCCTCTCCAGACTGATTTGCATTCTGCGGTCTCCGCTCCCAGCTTCTTGCCTTAATTAATGACTTCTTGCTTATATTTTCTTTTCTACTTGTCATCACTCAGGCTGATGTGCTCAGCTTTAACCTTGCAGAAGCCGGTTTGCCACCGAGCTGGCACAAGGCACAGGGGACAGGAGAGGCGAGGGCAAGTCAGGGCTTTGCGGCTAGTGGCCAGCACCAGCTCCCCTGCAAGCCAGGCACAGTTACTTTCTGCAGAGCAATTCAGTCCTGCCAGTTGTGTGCCAGTTCTGGCAGCTGGGCATCTCCCCAGTGCACATGTCATGGACCTGGTGCTGCTGGGAGGTGCCAGACCCAGGTACCGAGAAGTTCTGGCAGCACTGGTGAGGGTTTCTCCTCTCCACAGACACACGGGGCTGGGGGAGGCAGAAGCCCAGGGTAAGCTCTTAGAAGGATGTCTCCTAACACCCTGGCAGGGAAAGAAGGGCTCAAGTGCTGCCCTTGTGCTCCTGGGAGCAGGACCCTGTAGAGACACTCTGCAAACAGCCCAGACAGAACCGCAAACGCACCTCGTGGCAAGGCCAGAGAGGTGACAGTGTGACAGGGGTGGTTAGAGCACACAGCACTACCAGCTCTAGGGAGTTCTGCTTACTTGCTTTTGGGTTTAGATGCTGGTTCCTAAGCCATGGCCAGCCTCAGCAGGGGGCCAGCTGATTATTTTAATTCTTCCAACAGCCACACGCTCTCTTCCCCTCTTGGAGCTTTCAGAAAAGCCCAGAAGAACGCTATCTGCCATATCTCCTTTATCAGCTTCCTAATCAAAACCACTGGCTCTTCCACCTAGTCACCCAGTGGGCCCTGAGCTGCCCTCCATCACTGGCCAGGCACAGCGCACAAGGAAGGCATTTTTCCTCAAGTACCTTTCCATGATGGACGAGATCTGTCTTGCTCTTGGAATGAGCGGAGGAAGCAGATGAAAGGGTGGGAGGTTTGCCAGAGATACTTCATGGGGCTTCTTCAGCAGCACAGATAATTACAATGATGGATCTGGAGTCTGCTAGAAAGGCAAAGGTGGAGGAAGTAATAGAGTTCAGATGTTGGCTCAATACCCTGGAGTTTAATTATTTCAGCTGCTGAAGAGTGGAACAGATCCTTGATGTTTGCACATACTGCAGTGAGCACATCGCATTGGCTTGCACAGGCGAATGCCCACCTCAGAGAAAGGCTTTTTGCTTAGCAGCAGCCATGCAGCCTCATTGGGAGGCTTTTTGGGGGGCCTGTTGCTTCTGCTGTGGGTCCTTGGTGTGAGACACAAGCAAATTTTCCAGTCTTTCTTGGATGAGCCAGATCCTCAACCCTGGGTGGTTTTGGTGGCATCTTGCAGCACAGTTCAGTGGTTCAGTGGCCAAGGATTCAACTCAGCACGTCACTGCGGAGCCGTGCCCTGAATCCAGGAGGGGAAATGGAGCTTAGTTGAAGGCCAAGCAAATGGGGGAAGCAGGGCTCTGGGTCAAGCCCCGGTTGACATGATGGCCCCGAAGAGCGGGACTCACCACTGCTTGGGAGAGGGACCTGGGATGTGCGTTTGATTGTGTAGCACAAGGGAAATGAGAAGGTTGGATTGAGTTTAATGGCAAAATTAATAGCAGAGGGAAACCTGTGCTGTTGTCTCCATTCTCCGTTACTGCAGCAGACACCTCTGGAACAGGCAGAAACGCTGCCACCAGCCTCACACCTATGGGTCACGCAGGGAAAGCTGTGGCCTGGGATGCAAGGGCAGGGGAGAAGCTGCTGGGAGAGGCCAAAGACTCTAGGCCAGGAGCAGGAGAAAAAGCAAACAGTGCCAGCGAACAGCTCTTGGCACAGGGTGAAGCCACGCTCTCCTCCTCCCCTGGAACCTTTTCTTTCCCTCCCCAGCACCCAACTCTCTTTTGAGATACAGCTGCTGAGCACGGCAGGGTAGTCAAGGCTTTGGCACCGACAGCTGACACATAGAAACTTAAAACTTTTCTCAGCCCAGTGCCAGACACCTGACGTGGCTCTCAGCAGCCCAGCGCTTTGGCCCCAAGGCAGGACAGCAGAACTCACTGCAGTGATTCCCCCACGCTGCTTTTTAATGCCTCTGAAAACCAGGTCCCCCTTTTCTCTTTCTTACCTGGCGTCACCGCTAAAGCAGCAGCAAAACTTCCTGTAAGCCTGCTCGTTTTATTTGCCACCGTGGGGGTCTCCGGGGGGCTGCCAGCGCTGCCTCACCTCCCACAGAGGCAGCAGAGCTGTGAAAGCAGCCAGTTGCTGCACCACCCCCGCCTTTCCACTCCCAGCCTACGCTCAGGAGCCGTTATGAAAAACTCCAGCACCGGGCAAGACAAAGACCTGGAGAGCCGTGGACAACATCATCATCACGTGCGCTCAGGCTTAAAGCTTGACTCTGCATCCCAGCTAGATGCATTCCCGGTTTTGAGGCAAGCTTCCAAGCTGGACAACATCAGCAGCAAAGGTAACTGCAGCAATAAAGAGCATTTAAGCCACCTGCTCTTTGAGCATCGTAATGGTCTCCTCAGCAACAAGGCTGTTGAGTGCAGAAGCGTTGAGAGATGGATGTTATGTGGACACCAAGACTAGGCTGAGAAAAAACAAGTAAAGACTAAACATGAAGGACACTCGCTCCTCACACAGGGACCATCCTGGAAATGCCATGCCCTACCCTGCCCAGATGTTTCTCCCCAGCCCCTCATCTGTCTGCTGTCTCTTCCAGCCATTTCACCTGGCATGGGGCAAGGCACCAGCTCAGCTGCCTTCTCCCCACCAACTCCACACTTACGCAGGAGCACAGGCTGGGCAAGGCTGCTTCTCCTCTTTGCAAAACACCCCATCTTCCAGCCTGAATCAACCCCCTGGAGATTCTCTTCCCTCTATTTGTACGGTTTCGCAGCAACTAACTAGATTGAAAGTTTGGATTTCTTGGCTGTGGGAGTCAAGATCAGAAGGTGAGTCAGCAACCGTGTGTGCTTCCATCTGCAAACAGCCTGGTGTTTGAATTTAAACAACTTCGTGTTGTCACTTCTAATTTCAGTACCGGGTATCAGAGTAGCAGTCACCCAGTCCAGCGCTGCGCCTGGGGCCTGGAACATACTTAAACAAAGAAGAATGAGCTGCTCTGAAAAAAAGGAGAGAACTTGGCTGAGTCTGAAAAGGCTGACAGGGTTTTATTGAAATTCAAAACACAAAAAAAAGGTCAGATTGTCTCCCACTCCCTCGGTACCCTTCCCATCCAGCACACCGTAATGAAGTATCAGTATTCACAGTGACAGCTCCAGCCAAACCACAAGCCAGTGAGTCCCAGTCTCCAGCAGCACCCCACGGGTGAATCCATCTAAAAGCCATGCCTATTTCTGGTATCTCAGCTTTGAATGTGGAGGTCCACGTAGTCTTTTCCCGTACAAGAGGCCAGGTATTGGAGAACGTGCTGACCTGAAGGTCTCTGAAGAATGCTCCAAACTGTGGCTGCTGCATGGTTAAGCTGAATCCTAGGAATGGCACTTCCAAACTGGTGGAAGCTGTGGGATAGGTATCACTACCAGCACACCGTCTGGTACACAGGTGGGAACTCGGATTGCTACCGCGCATGTTACTGTCACCTTGCTGCTATTTGCACCCTACCGACAGGATTTTATGGATCCCTGCTCCCAAACAAAGCCATCTACATCTTTGTTACTAACCACAGCGGTGCAGAAGCAAGAAATTAGCAGGGGCAATTCCCTGCATTCTTCATAACTGCATCACTTCAGGCTCCCAGCAGAGGTCATCACTCGTTCCTCAGGCTGCACCAAAGGTCCTGGAGCAGCACTTCTCCATGGCAAGCAAGAAAGACAGTTATGGGTCAGCTCTGGGTTTGGTGCTGCTGAGGCAGCCGTAAATCCACCTCCATCCCAGCCCAATAATACGGCTGAGTACACACACCACCTACTACTGCAAATGGACCTCTTGTCCAAGAGGGTCAGTAAGAGGAAACACCGAAGTCAGTTACAGTGGGTGTTTCTGCAAGCTGTAGATGTCTGCCTAAATCTGCGCTAGGAGTAAGTCACCCCCCAAACCCACATCAGGCAGCTCTGAGCTGCTAGCTGTCTAACTGGGTATTTTTAGCAAGTTTTTCCATGTAGTATTTAAGCCCTCACTTGCAGCTTTGATTTGAAAAACCAAGGCCAGCGAAAGCTGTTGGTCTAGTGATTAAAAGCTTTGTATCCAATTTGTAACCAGACAGATTCTCTGCCCTCTGACCGCGGGCTCCGGGGAAGGCTGGGATTAAGCCTGGGTGGGCGTTTCTCAGGGCGGTGTGTTTGTGCAGCTGCTAACGTGCAGAATTCAGCGCGTGTTCTCCTCGCAGCACAAAGCCTTCTGTTGTCCAAAGCACCCGCTTTCTCCCCCGAGCAACCGAGTACTGCGGAGGTGGCTGAAGGTGCCTGTTCCAAGCACTTCTGTGACGTTGGCCAGCTGCTCAGTGCACCAGTCAGGGCTGGTGACCGCACGTGGCATCAGCCACCACCTACATCAAGATGAAGTGCTTAGGAGAAGGCAGAATTATCTCAGGAACAGGTATCCTATTCAGTATCAGCCCATCTGATAAAAAGAAAAGCAGCTCTTTTTTTTTTTTTTCCAAAAGTCTTAGCTGCAGCACTCTGTCGTCTCTGTTGTCCAAAGCCTGCTGCCTCCCCATGAGGCAGCTGTGGCAGCACCCACGGGGACAGTCTGAGCACCACTGGAGAGCAGATCTGGCAGGAACGGCCGCTGGCAGCAATGTTCATTCAGCGATCTGGGAAGCAAGCTTCAGCTTCCTATTTTTCTCAGTAAAGCTTCTCCTGCTGCATCAGGAAGATGACTTGGAAGCCCTTTACCTCTTCTCCATCTTCTGCATCTGCAGGCTGAGTGACGTGAAGCTGGCCAGGAGGTCTGTAACTTCATCCACCTGACAGAACACAGTTGGCTGTTAGGCAAAGGAATGCAGATGTGCAGTCTCCCACCACCACAGAAGAAGACCCTATGCAGAAGGGACCATCCCAGCACCAGGACTCCCAGTAATGCCTGCGCTGAGCTTACACTGGGACAGGACCCCTTTGGTCCCACAATTGTGGAGAAGGGCTCCTCCTGTCCTCGTGATCAAACAAGTTCTAATCAAAGCAATGGGAGCTCCTCCCTATTCCTCAGGAGGCTGATGCTTGACCTCCACTTCACACGATTTAGCCAGTCCTTAAAATAGAAGCATGTTCCTACCTTAACCAGTACTCAACAATGGTATCAGGGCTGTTTCCTCTAACCCAGTTTCCAAGAACTAATCTTTTGTAGGAAAAAACCCAAATAGGCCCTCCAACCCTGCGTGGTTGTGCTGATCCTGACTTTAAAATGCTGTGATCTCAGCCCATCTGATCTTCAGCTTCTCTGCTAAGCTGCCAGACACAGTTGCACTTTGAATTCCAACCCAAAGAAGTACTACGAGTCATCATGTAACTTGCCCACTATACCAGATTTGAGCAAAAACGCTTCCATGACCGTCTCTTCAATGTCACCTTGCTCATGCACTTGTGTTCTCCTGAACACAGAAGTCACAACATGAGCAGGTGAGTCACAGTAGCTCAACGCTGCCTACCTCCTCCTTTGTGCTAGTCATCTGCAACCTGGAGCAGAGGTCATCCAGCTGTTCCTTTTGCTCGTGCCTCCCCAGACGTTCCAGGTATTCCCGCAACATCTGGATAATCTGAAACCAACAGGCATAAGAGGCAAACATCAGACAGCTGCACCAGGCTGGGATTTTTTTATAGAAAAAGTAAATTGCAGTTAAATTGCCAAGCACAGCCTTGACGCTGCAGTACGTGGCAGAGTACATGGCCCAGAGAGAAGAAAAAAAGCAAAGCAACCAGAGAGCACTAATGGCAGCATCAGAGCCCCATGAGTCACCAGAGGTGTTGATCAGCCACAGATGAGTCATGATCCCTGTGCCTTGTTGAAGAATAGGGAAGAGAGATAGGTCCAGCTGAAGCAGCAGAAGGCACCAAGCTTTTCTTTATGGCTAGCTTGCTTCCCTCACTGTGAGGAGTAGGGACTTCCTCCTCTGGCAGGATGTGCTTGTGCACTGAGGATGAAAATTCTTGTGGCTCCTATAGAAGCCTCACTTTGGTTCCTGAAGCCAGGTCCACACCTCGTGCATTTGTGATGCAGCCCCGTGACCTCTCTCCTACCCCATGCCTCCAGGTATCGGAGCAGGGCAGACTGCACTAGGAATGCAGAGTCCCTGTTGGAGTGTGTACAGCATGGCTACAGCCCCATGCTGTGGTCCCTCTCTTGCCAGAAGGCATGTGTGTTACATGGTGGTTGAAGAAAAGAGAGTGCTTCATACAGTCTGAGAATTAAGGCATTCAATGCATCTTGGCCTACCAGAGCCAAGAGAAGTCCTGCAAAAATTCAGAGTAGTGGCTGGGAAAAAGGAAGATCTCTGAAAATAGAAGGAAAAAGTCAAACTCTACCCAGAGCAGCTAAGAGCCTACAGACAAGTATTTAAATAAAGGGAGCAGGAGACTGCCAGGGGCTGCATCCCCTTACCAGATCATGGGACTGTGTCTTTTACCTGTTTCACTTCGAGGCGTACGGCCTCCAGGCTGTGGGAGAGTCCTTCCTGCAGGATGTTTAGCTTTGATTTAGCGAGGTGCAGCGGCGTTCTGCCAGCTCGATCCAAGGCATCAACTCTGGCCCCTGCAAGATCGATGAGCAAGGACAGAAAGTGAGGTCTGTCTTCAAGACTTGGTGTCCCCGGGAAGTATCAAGAGGGGCAGGGCAGGAAAGGGACAGGCTGTAATTGTTATAGAGGAAATGTTACCTCCGCGCAGCAGTGTGGTGATGACAGGAACGTGGTTCGTGCAGGCAGCTGGGGAGGGAAAACACAGGACACACAACTCAGAGGTACTAGCAAACAACAATGGAGTTTCTGCTCAAGCCTGGAGCTTGCTGCTGCTCAAACAGCTCTCCGCCATGAGAAAGAGGAACAGCCCAACTGTTAAGGGGAACCTCACACTCAAGACTAGGTATTCTCTCTGGAACAGAAGACATGCTCCTTGGGGCTGGCAGAAGGATGGAAATTGATTTTCTCTACCTCTGACCCTTAAACCTTCATAAGAAGTGAAGCTAATGAAATGCAAAGAGTCCCTCCTAGGTCCTTAAAGCTGAGGATGCATACTGTGATGCACAGGAAAGGGGAAGGTGGAGAGGAATGGAACGGCAAGGCAGTGCTCACCTCACCTCTCTGTATGCAAAGCTCATCTGTGTGGCACTTACCCAGGTGTAAGGGGGTGTTTCCCAGCCCATCTCTCTGGTTTGGGTCAGCCCCGTGGTCCAGAAGTAGTTGCACTGGAAACAAGGAAACAGAGCCACGTCAGTCCCTTCCCTTTCCCCCACAGGTCAGGTCCACACGGCAGCCATCAGGCTGCTTCTGTTCAGCTCATCAACTACCTCTCAGAAACAGGGGACAGAGGTCCTTTCTGCAGCACAAAGCCAGGCAGTGTCACTGCCCTGGGCTTCCTGAGGGGAAGAACTGGGACTAACAACATCCTTCGGCACCAGTACAGCCCGAGAGCAGGGAGCTGCTGCTCCCCATTCAGCAGGGGGACACAGCAAGCCCTGGAGCCAGAGTTCAGCTGGCAGCTTTGCCACAAAACACATGGAAAACATCGATCTCTGCCACAAGCTGAACCAAAATAAAGAGCAACCTTCAAAATCTTCACCAGAGAGAATCTGGATGACACCCACTCACCGATGTGATCGTTGCCATTGCAGGAGGCAAAATGCAGGGCTGTCCGGCCTTTGTCGTCTGCGGCACAGGGGTCAGCTCCATCCTCCAAGAGTTGCTGCACTGACAGTGCCAAGGGGAGAAGAAAGCAGGTGAGCTGAAGGGGCACCTGATCAGAAAGGGGTAGTGCTACCTGCTCTTCTGCAGTTAGATACAGGAAGCAGGTAGGTGAGTGCACTAACCTGCCAACTACATATCCTCAACCCTGAGGAAATGATGTACTGAAGAAGTGAGGTAGTGAACAGCCCGAGCAGCCATAACATCATCTACTCACACTTGTTCCCCCTGCTTTTACACCCAGCTACTTCTTCAATGCCACCACTTCTTGTAACCTGAACTATCTTCTTTTCTCAGACAAGAAGGAAAAATCTGCTCATGCAGAAGACAGAGAAACTAGTATGACTCTCCAGTATTGAGTATAACAAAGGCAAAGAGACCAGTAAAGTCTGAAAAGATTAGGGACATAAAAGTAGCATCTACAGCAACACATGTAAGGGCACCTGTACAGGCTATTACTCCTGTTGTTTTGAGATTATCCTGATATACTAATCAGTGTGTAAAATAAAGCTCATTCCACAGCTGTTAAAAATACTGACAGATTTGCTGTATTTTGAGGTCTTTAATAGCACAACCTGCAACAGTGAAGACTGACCAATATCAGAGACAAGAAACTAGATATCTCAGACCACTGAAAGTCCCCATTCGTCTCAGCTTCCAGAGATCAAATTATGGCCACATTTGAATTTCTTCCTGTACACCTGCTGCTTTAAGTGTGGTAGAGAAGTGAAAGGAACACCTGAAAAGATGGAAGTGGCATTAATGGGGAATGTTTGACAGTCCAGATAAAAGACAGGGAGACTGACAGTGTCACCAGTGAAAAACATTAAGGGGGAACGGTTTATCTAGATCCTTCATTGAAGCGTGTAGGAAATGACATAAACTCTCCCACCCAGTGCCACCACAAGAAAGAGCAAACATTTTTACTTGTTGGTGAAGAATAAATTCATCATCAGACACTTCCTGAAGTTGCAGAGTATGCAAAACACAGCAGGACTGTAAACAGGGGAAGCTGCGTATCAAATACAGGTGTAAAACTCTAAGATGGACTGAAACCGAGACTTTCATAAAGCCTGATTCTTTCATTTTTCCTCTTGACTTGGTGACTGAAGCCAAGCCTTTCTCTGTGACAGAGCTCACTTTATCCATCAGTTCATGAAACCAGCTGTATTGTGGAGCCAAAGGGTAAAGCATGCCAGACAAACCTCTGTCCTGATATACAGGGAGTTTCTACACATCAAACCAGTCAACCAGTTTCCAATTCTGTTCACAGTATGTCCCAATGAACAGTTAAGCCAGCACAGCTAAGGGGACAGTATAGTCTAAGGAGGGACAACAATAAAAGGCAGATAATACAGGCCAATATTGCTGCTGGATACTTCATATCAAACCCCACCTAATCTACAGTGCAGAGAGGTAAAGGGAGTCACAGATAGGCCAGGAGCCTTCTCTAAAGTCATTGTGAGAGGCAGAGTCCAGCACTCGTTCTGGTTCTGATCTACTGGGTCACACCATCTCATCACACAGGGTACAGCTTAGATAATCCTAACTTTTCCACCTTACCACAACACTACTGTCTTACTGGGTAAAAGTCACATATCAAAAAAAGCTGGAGTAGTACAGGACTGATTTAGCTTGAGGCAGCCGGAAAACTAACACTATGAACTAAATGCAGTGAAAAAGTGAGTATTATAACCAGCTTCTCTCTGCTCAGAGAGCAAAACAAGGCTCCTGAAAAGTAGTTTCAAGATTTACAGCATCTAAGGCACCACGTCTGCAAACTATCCGCACCCCCCTCCTCTCCTGAAATAAAGGTTCTTGACAAAACTGCCCTTCCAGAAAGAAGTTCCAAATAAGACTGGCCAGAATTCTTACCTGTGTCCAGGTCGTTGCTATTGGCAGCTTCACGCAGCCTTTTCAGAGCTACGGAGAAAAGAAAGCGATCACTGGAAAGCACAGAGGAAAAAGGAGAGTTTCCCTACTGGAACAGCTCATCCCGGCGCTCGATACAAGGTGCAAAGGCCCTGGTGCTGGCTCAGCCCAGAGAAGGGGAAGCAGGAGATTAAGATGCCAAGTAAGAAGCGCTCTCCTTGCCTCTTCCTGAGGCTGGCCAGGGGCTCTCCCATTCCTGACAGACACCCTCCCCTGGCAGGAGCAAAGGTGCCTTCCCAAGCCGTCCACCGAGAGATCCGACCTCCTGCCAGAGGCCCAGCACAGGGGAAAAGCCAAAGTTTTACCGGCTCCCCAGATCGCAGCCTCTCCACCCTGCCGAGGCCTGGCCGGCAGCACGGCGAGAGGCTGTCCCCGCTGCCCCCCCCGCTCACCGTGGCTCTCCTTCCCCGTAGGCCCCAGCCGGCGGTGCAGGCGGGCGGCCCTGCGGAGGCGGCGGGCCGGGATCTTGCCCGCGGGCTCCTCCCGCTGCCACACGACGTGCAGGTAGCCGAGTGGAGCGTCCGCCGGCGGACCCAGCGCCAGCCCGGCCCCCGGCTCCGGCTCCGGCCCCGGCTCCGCACCGGGCGCTGCCGCGGCCCCGCCGCCGCCCTCCATTCCCTCACGGGCCGGAGCGGGAGGGGTACGAAGGGAGAGAGGGGCGGGAATCGGCCCGTCGCTATAGCAACGGGGCGGCCCGGGTCCTCTCCACCAATAGGAGGCGCCGCACCTGGGTGGGTGCAGCCAATGGGGAGTTCGAGAGAGCGGATAGAAGAAAGGCGAGGAGAGAGGCGAGGCGGGCGGAGGAGGCGGTGCCCAGGAAGGGCTGACGGGCAGGCGGCTGCCCAATCAGAGCGAGGAGCGGGCCGCATCAGACCTATTGCAGCTCTGACGGCTGAAGACGGACAGTTGTTTTAACCAGTGGAAGGGCGCAGCGCCCTCATCCACGGCCTCAGCCTGTTCCGCCCCTGGTCCCACCCCCTCTCTTCCGGCCCGGCGTTGCTGCCTGGAGCCCTTTCCGTGCCGTGCCGCCGCCATGGCCTACCCGGGGGAGGACTACGACAACGAGGTGCGGGGTGGGGGTCCCGGGGCGGCGGGGGGGAACCGGAGGGCGTCGGGTCTGGGCCGTTCGGGGGTGACCGGCTGCCTCCCTCTCTCCACAGGGCGCCTACGACCCCTACGCCTACTCCAACGACTATGATATGCACACGGGTGAGTGCGGGCCTGGGCCGCGCCGCCGCGGTGGGCCCTCGGGGCCTGCTGGCCCCTGGCTGGGTCCATCGGACCGGGTCCGGCGCCTGCGGCAGCCGCCTCACTGCTCCTCTTTCCCTCCTCAGGAGACCCGAAGCAAGACCTGGCCTACGAGCGGCAGTACGAGCAGCAGACCTACCAGGTGATCCCCGAAGTGATCAAAAACTTCATTCAGTATTTTCACAAGACGGTCTCGGATCTCATTGACCAGAAGGTGTACGAGCTTCAGGCCAGCCGTGTTTCCAGTGATGTTATTGACCAGAAGGTGTACGAGATCCAGGACATCTATGAAAACAGGTGCAAAGCTGTTCTTCCCACAAGGGGGATCACTGTTGGAACTGCGGTGAACTTTTAAAAGGAAAGGCTGACTAGCTGTCTTGTTCCCAACCTGAGCTTTCTCCAAAATAGAGTGTGAGGTTTGATTTGATCACCGGGGAAAAAAAACCAGGCCATTGATCTAACAGAAGTCTAAATAAATTGTCATCTATCTGAAAGAAAATACCAAGGTAGTATACTAAAGTACTAGTACAAGGTAGTGCTCGTTAGGCAGTTTACAGAGAGCTGTGAGGTGTGATTGTTGTGTCTTTTCTCTACTGATACTCCCACTTGTAGCTGTGCTAGCTTACCATAAGGGAAACGCAGAAGTAACATACACAGCTGTTCCATATTTCAGGGATAAATTAAAAAAAAAAATATTATAGCTTAGTTTGCCATTTTAATTCTTTGGTTGAACACTGGACTTACTAAAAGGGGATGGTAGTGGTGTTCTACTTTCACGAAGGCCAAGGCCTATATATTGTGATCTCTAACTCCAATGCTGTTGTACTGAGAAGTGGTTTATAATATCACGTGTGTCTTTATTTTTCAGCTGGACAAAGCTCACAGAAAGGTTTTTTAAGAATACCCCATGGCCAGAGGCTGAGGCTATTGCCCCTCAGGTTGGAAACGGTAAGTCTTTTACTTTTTCTTTGCTTGTCAGAAAAAGGAGGAACTAAATTACTTTTGATACATGAACGCGGTGCACCCGTGGTGCACAGTGTTGCTACCGCCTGAGTAAGTCATCTTTGTTCACTCTGGCAACACTTTCGATAGATGCCTGGCAAGAAGTCAAAAACTGAAGGAATTACCCTTTTTTGTGTGTGTGTGTGTGTGAAGAAAACATCCCTTTATTACTACAGCAGGAGGAGCACCAGTGGCATCTGAGAGATCCAGTTGCCCAGGCCGTGTGGCTTGCTAATGTCAAGTTCTGTCATTTTTTTTTTCCAGATGCCGTTTTCCTCATCTTATACAAGGAGCTGTATTACAGGCACATCTACGCCAAAGTCAGCGTGAGTGTTTCTGTTGGTTGTGTCTTCCTGTTGGTTGCATGCTGGCTTCGCCATATCATAAAACTTGCCAAATGCGGTGGCTGTCCCAGCATCAGTGCTTCCGTAACTTTTGCAAGATGGGATTGGAAAGGTGTATGAGCTATAATTGGAGAAGCTTTATTCTTGCCTTTTTTTAGTTTAGTAAGGATGCGCTGGTTGCTGAAAAGCAAGAAAGACTTGATTATCTTTCTGAGGCTCATTAGCTGTCTCTTCAAGCTGGATTGTAATGAGTGTGCAGGTTTCCCTGGCAGCTTATATGACTAAGAAAACCTGCTCTGAGTTTTCAGGCAGCTATTTTGTAAAAGTTTGTTACTGACACCAAATGTTACTGAGTTAAAGAAGATGGAGTTGTTGGGAAGGAACTGAATTTTCTTCTCGATAGGGCTGTATGTCAAGACCTATAGATCAGTTGGTTTGGTCTGCTTCTTTGTGGTTCTTTGTTCTTCAGATTAGCAGGTGGATGGGAGGGGGTGTTAAAAGATGATGGTGCATTATTTGTAATTAAAGAAACACATCAGGTCAAAGTGCCTTGCATAGAGGGAAACATTGGGCACTGTAAACGATACTGGAGAAGGAAACAAAAGCAATAATGGTCTGTAAACCAAACCAAAATAAACCCTACTTTTTATAAGCTTATTTGAAGACACTGAGAAAATCACAACAGTACTCAGTTGTTTAAGGAAAGAAGCTGAACAGGCGCCTGACATGGGCTAAATGAGTAATAACTGTAATTTTGGTGTGGACCAGAGGGTGGAGAAATGGAGACTTTTAAAAGGCTGCTGTATTGAGTCAGGCTTTAACAGGAGAGACCGGTTTCTTGAGTTGTGTTGTTAGTGGTTCTCAGACTGCCCTCGAGTGTCTCCAGGTGAAACAAGGAAGATGATTCTAGGAAGAATTGATTCCCTACTGTGTTTGCTGCTCTTTCAGAGCATTTAGAAATACCATCTAGAAGCAGAACTTCAATCTATTAAGGCCTCTCATGAGGGGAGGAGGAGGGAAAGCTGTTGAAGGTAATAGGAAGCTCTTAAGTCTGGACAGCAGAGAGTAGGACAAGGAAGGTTAATGCATCCTCTTCAGAGAAGGTTTGAATGCTTGGTCATCCTGGGAGAAGTTACCTGTACATGAAAAGTCACTGCTATTCTGTGGGACAATAGCGATACAATTTCAGGAGTTCTGGGTGGTGCTATTGGGTGTCCTGGATGAACATTGGCTTTAACGTTTCTGAAATAGACCCTCTGCTGCTGTGACTATTGACTGTCCTTCATACGCTGTTGCCCATAAAATCACTCTTGCCTTGCTTGAAACTAAGCAGACTGTACTGACTTCTCATTGCAGGGGGGGCCCACGCTGGAGCAGAGATTTGAATCCTATTACAACTACTGCAATCTCTTCAACTACATCCTCAGTGAGTTGCTGCAATTCATTTCTGATTTGTGAATTTTGGAGAGGAAGAGCGGGTGTAGAGGACAAAGCTGGAAAATGGGTCAGAAAAACTGGAACATTTGTTTATAGCTCATATAGGGAGAAGTAGTCTTTGAGCTTTCTGTATATTTGAGTTTGTTGAATGAAGAGCACTTTACAATCGTGCATATAAACCCACAAAAAGCACAAGTAGTTTCCAGTGCTTTCTGTAATACTGTAAAGAATAAAACTTACTTAGCTTTCTGCCTTGCTGAGAACTACTTCACCTATCTTTATTAAAAAGCAAAATGAAGCTGTAAGTTAGAGAGAACTTGCAGTGTTTCACAATTGTTTACTGTTGTTGACTCCTCTTGGAACAAATTTTAGTGTTTGTGACTCCCTGCCAGACTTCTTGGGGAGGATAGGTCATTTAGGATAAATCCCTACAATCTGTGCAGCTTCTGAGAATCACTGCTGCTGCGTGGTCATGCTCTAGATATTACACCGTGCACATTCATATTCTTTAAAGGTGAAGGCAGTTGAGGTAGCCAAAGCTACGTATTGCTGCCATACTGGAAGCTTTATTCATCTGCTGCTGCGTCTCTCACTACAGGGAAGTTCTTGTGTTCTTTAATTTGTTTGTTCCTCCAGTGCTGCCGCTGTTCTTGCTCAAGGTATTAATTTCATCTGTTACTCCTGTTCTTCTGCAGATGCTGATGGCCCTGCTCCTCTGGAGTTGCCCAACCAGTGGCTCTGGGATATCATTGATGAATTCATATACCAGGTACATGACTATAAGACTGGGCCGTTTTGAGATGGCCTTGCCTTTATTAGTGCTATACTTCTTCCATCTCTTTCCTCTTTGGGGTTTTCATAGCTAGGATACTATTGCAGGCCAAAAAACTTTGGTGAGCACTGTTATTCCTGGGTCACCACATAGATGAAGTAGTTGTAAATGCACAGATTTTTAAGTTACAGGGAGCTCTTTAGGAAGTCCTGGACTTCTACTGATACATTTTTCAGTTGCTGCTTGGGGGATTATTATTTTTTTTTTAAATCACCTTCATTTCTGCCTGATTTCAGCAAAGCAGCCTGACTGAAATCTGCTATAATCACAAAGACATTAATAAGATATTTGTTCAAACTAGTTTTATTGTGTTCTATTGTTGTACTTTAGGGTTTTACTTTAGTTTTGCATTTCTTAGTCAGTAGGGTCTTTATGCTTCCACCAAGAGATTGGTGACCTGATTTGAAATCTATGGTCTAGAATCGTGATGTTCAAAAATATTTTCCCCCTTATTTTTCAGAGTGCAGTAATACAGATCTCAAATGCTACTGTTGGGTGTTTTGGTTTGGGGTTTTTTTTTTGGTTTTTTTTTCCTGTAGATTGCTATTTCCCTAACTTTTTATTATAGAGCTGCCTGGAATTCAAGCACAGTCTTCTCAGGCTTATATGAAAAAGGATGCATGCATATTTAGAAAAAGATGTGTGTATATGCATATGTATCTTATGACTTTGTCATTCTCTTTGCTAATTGTTCAGACAGCAAATTTCTGTTTAGTTGCCTGTCCTAATTGTCTAAGAGATCCTTCTCTTCTTCACTCTGTTCTTTT